GCACTGTTGGACCAAAGACATCATGTGTCGAGCATGAGGAAGGCGGGGCCATCTAGCACGAGTCTGCAGAGTGCCAAAGAAATCAGCGCCGGCATCCCCACCGAGGAACCAGTGATCACAAGCAGCCATCAGAGAAGCCAGCTATCAGATGACAATGAGCCTGTCATCCACATCGACCGTCCTTCGCACTGGCGGTCAAGGGAAGATCCACGTCACCCTCCATCTAGACGGCGTTCCGTGCAGCATGGAGGTCACGGTGATCTCTTCGTAAACGTGGCAGTGGCTATTTCCAACCCGGAGGCGGCGGCGGCTGAAGCCAGCGGACACCCGGGTATCAGATTTTCAGGGAAAGCGTATCCCTCTGGCGGGGAGGGATAAATTCAATGTAGAATTTAAAGGGAAATGTGCCACGTTATTTCTGTTGGTTGCTGAGGGGGACCGGGTTAACTTGCTTGGCCTGGATTGGTTCGAACCCCTGGGTATTGCAATTACCGTTGTGAATAATGTTGTAGAGAATAAATGGGCATTTTTGTATGCAGAGTTCCCTGATGTATTTGGGGGTGGCCTGGGAAGGTACAACAGGCCCCGGTGTCATTCGAACTTTATTTATTTATTTATTCTGGGATTTATATCCCGCCCTACCCGTACGGCTCAGGGCGGCAAACAAGCGGCAAGCGCCGAGAATAAAACACATGTTACATTAAAACTTTGATAAATACAACTAAAATGGTGCTCTACAGTTCAATTTTAAGAAAGTTTAAGATGGTCGATCCTCACTGGCGGCCGACGATATAAGAGTCGGAGCGCCAGAGTAATGCTCCTCTTCAGGGCGGCGTCTCTCCGTACCCAAGGCCAGGTAGATGGTAATTCCCGCCACGATGGTGGTATAGTGGCAGTGGCTCCGGCTCCTACTCAAAAGCCTGGCGGAAGAGCTCCGTCTTGCAGGCCCTGCGGAACTGTACAAGGTCCAGACTGCATGATCTCTCAGTTTTATGGTAGCCGTCTGCATAGATTTATGGCCATTCTATGGCCATTCAGGGGTGACTCTGCAGTCAGTCTGGCGTTCACCCGGGCTATCTGAATGTGGTTTTGAGCCGCATCTTTTTCTGTTCCAGTGTGGATCTGGTAAAACAATGGAGAGAATGCTAGATGTAGAAAGGGGCAGATGCAAAGTTCATGCCTCCTGGGTACTTTGCTAGACAGTAAGAAGCTACAGAGC